AGGGGTTGTGTCTGTGTGTCTCCCTCTCTGCGTGAAAATGAGGTGAGACACTCAGGGAGGCTTTAACACAGTTTGACCACCTCAGCCCCATTCGTTGTGACATCTGAGATGACAGGGATTATCTCATTGAGATTAGCACTTGAAACGTAAGAACCCAAAAGGCTTTGGGCCAAATGCTGGAAACTGGGATGAGCAAAATGGAGGTTTGATGACTGGAACTGACACGATGGGCTGAGGTGTCTTTTCTCCAAGCTGCAAAGATTCGATGAAAGGGAGAAACTGATCTACAGCCAAAATGATAGCAAATCAAAAGTCAGAATCAGTGTTGTTGAGAAAAGATACGAGAGTCTGAAGCACCCTTTCTGGTTGTCTAGTGGTTAGGATTTGGCGCTTTCACCACCATAGGCTGAGTTCCATTTTCGGTCAGCGCATGGGAGTTCTATTCTGCTAGTTTATTGTGATGATTGATTCTCTGGAGCAGGAAAGAAGCTGTGGAGCCGGTAGACAGACTGTTTTGTCCCAGAAATTATTTAAGTTAACAGAAGTCAAAGAACTGCAGATGCTGAAAGTCTGAAGCAGAAAGAGGAATTGACCGAGAAACTCAGCAGGCCTGGCAGCATCTGTGGAGAGAAAGAGAGGTAACCTTGGAACTGGGTTAGTTATGCATTTCAATAATATAATGTTAGGCGAAATTATCAGCTTTATCTGTCAAATCGGCATATTTATCAACATTTCTCTCTCTGATTAGCCTACAATTATTAATTGTTCCAGTTCACAAAACAGCAAGAAACAGAACTGCCAATTGGGTCAGCTCAGGCATCTGGAGTGGGAAGAGTGGAATGATCATGCATTGAGTATAAACGCAAAAAGCCAGCCACGTATACATTCAGGAGTCACGCAACTTAGACAACGTACCCTCAAACTAAGCCATCAGCACCACTGGGATTCGAAACCAGGATCTCCTATTAACTAGACAGGTGATTTAACCAACGAAGCCACGGAACCACACAGAGGGACTCCAGCCCCATCCACATGTTCATGTACTTCAACACTCGATCACAGAAACTTGATTTTTTTTTTTCTTATCTCAATGTTACTCAGTGAGAATTTAAATCAAAGACCGCTTTTACAAAGACGGACAGTTCACAGCTGAACATTTCCAGTGAAAATGCACAGAAAGAGACAATCTCCTCTTACACTGCTTTAAAACCGATATTTTCACAATTTAAACTGGCGAGATAAAGAGGATGTGTTCATCCTCTCTCTACCCATTAACCACGTCAATACACACAGACGAAACCTCGCAAACTGCATTCAATTCTATTATCACTGCTCGAGGAAAGATGAAAAGGTTTAGAAAAGCTTTACAAAGAAGTTGCCAGGGTTGGAGCAGTTAAGCTGGAGGGAGAGGCTGAATAAACTAAGGCTATTTACACTGGAGTGTTGGAGGCTGAGGGGTGACCTTATAGAAGTTAATAAAAGCATGAGGGGTAGTGATAGGGTCTTTTTCCCAGGGTAGGGGAGTCCAAACTTTAGGTTATAGGTTTAAGGTTTGAGGGTAAAGATTTTAAAGGGACGTCGCGTGCAATGTTTTGACACGCAGGATGGTGTATGTATGGAATGAACTGACACAGGAAATGGTGGAGGCTGGTATAAATACAACATTTAAAAGTCATCTAGATGAATACATGTATTGGAAGGGTTCAGCGGGATATGGACCAAATGTTGGCAAACAGGACTAGATTAATTTTGGATGTCTGATCGGCATGGACGAGTTGGACCAAAGGCTCTGTTTCTGAGATAACAAGATGTCGAGCTGAATGAACACAGCACGCCAAGCAGCATCAGAGATGCCAGAAAGCTGACGTTTCGGGCCGAGTCCCTTCTTCAGAAATTTTTCAGAAGAAGGGTCTCGGCCCGAAACGTCAGCCTTCCTGCTCCTCTAATACTGTTTGGCCTGCTGTGTTCATCCAGCTCGACACCTTGTTATCTCAGATTCTCCAGCATCTGCACTTCCTGCTGGCTCTGTTTCAGTGCTGAATATCTCTATGACTCTATAATTGCTTTAAGTGTAGAAAGGGTTCACTCAAACATCCCACCTACTGACACACCAGCGAGATCACACTTAGGAGAGCTCGATCAAATGCTCCAAGTGTTGGAAGAGATCTAGTCAGTCTTCCCATCTGCTCTCACACCAGCGAATTCACACGGGAGAGAAACCATGCATTTGTTCTGAGTGTGGGAAAGGATTCAATCAGTCATCCCACTTGCTGAGACATCTTGGCAGCCATACAGATGATAAATGTTTTAGTGGCCTTGACTGTAGTTGTTCATTTTTTTCAAACATTATGTACACATTCATTGTTGACTGGAGAAATGATAGCGAGACACTTACAGACACAGAGTGGAGTCAGGAACTACACATCTGTAATGTTGATCTCTGTAAATAAACCTGTGCCAAGTAAAGAATGGTTTACTATTTTTTTCCTTCATTATAAAGCCCTTTTTTATGGAGGTGATGAATTTCAGAGAAAATTGCTTCCATAACTGTTCAAAGAGCTAAATGATGCATTACGGGTAGGATGTGAGATGTGGCTAATTTAGATCTGGTAATGTGTAATGTGGCAGGTTTAATGAATTACATCAAGTTAAAAGATCTCCGAAAGAACAGTGCCCATCAAATAGTGTACTTAAGAGTACGGTGGGTGGGTTGTGGGGGATGGGTATTTCAACTTGAAAAATACGCATTAATCCAGATTCTGTGAGTAATGTGGTTGGAAGCTCATCTTGGGGTGAAATATTGCACCATGATTGTGAGCAGTGTGTTAGCAGCCAGTTACCAGGGGCAGGGATGGAGTCAGTGGTGAGGGAGTGGAGTTTGGCTGCCAGCCTGGATTGACATTTACCATTGTCTACTTAAATGTGATCTACACCCCTTTTCGAGCAGGAACGGACTTGGCAGCTTTATTGAGACAAAGTGTGGAGAAGTTTATCTGTTATGAAGCAAACTACAGTGACAAACCCAGACAGCTATTTCCAGTTGAATGCGGGTTATACTGCTTATGTCAATAACTAGGCAGTACAGCAGTGAAACAACTTATTGTAGCTTTTGCAGCCTCGGTCTTCAAAGTTTGTCCTCTGTCTTGGGCTTTTATCTTCTGCTTCTTGTTGCGTTCCATTGCATAGACCTTTCTTGTGAATCTCTTTTATCCTTCTTCTTCTTTGATTAACCTCCCTCTCTGCCCAATCACAGTTCATATGAACAACACTCACCTCACTTAACCACATGTTCTTTATATTCATAATTATTCTCTTTACATCTTACCTGAAGACTGCTATACCTGGATTTATTACATTTATTTCACCGCCATTTCTCTATTCGCTGACAGAGCAGTATCAAGAGCTATCTTTAGCTTTGAGCAGGAGGAAGCCTTTTCAAACACGACTTATTAAAAAGAACTGCGGATGTTGTCAATCAGGAACAAAAACAAAGTTGTTGGAAAAGCTCAACAGGTCTGGCAGCATCTGTGAAGGAAAAAAAAACAGATGATGAAGGGTCGAGGCCCGAAACGTCAGCCTTCCTGCTTCTATGATGCTGCTTGGCCTGCTGTGTTCATCCAGCTCTGCAACCTTGTTATCTCAGATTCTCCAGCATCTGCAGTTCCTACTAACTCTGATACAGAATTAACGTTTCAGGTCCAGTGACCCTTCCTCAGAACGACTTATTAAAATCCCAGGATCGCTAACATAACAATTTTTCTAATCTAGTTCTAATTTTCATTTGTCTGAAAATGCAAGATTCTGATGACGATCATTAGCTTCTGATAATGACAACAAGAAGCACTGCACATGCTCCAGCTCACAACAGAGTCTGGGTGATTGATGTCAGTGCGGGACCAATTGGATCACAGGGGCGCCGTGGATGACCGGGCGGATGTAGCTGCCCTTCTAACCAATCGGAGTGAAGAAGGGGCGGGATCAGAGTAAACCACGTGATCATTCAGGCGCGCACTGCAGAGTCGTTGAGACCGAAATTTGTGCAATTGAGGTAAGAGCAGGACACGGTAAAGAAAGAAATACGGCAGAAAGCGGGAGGGAAGTGATATTCGTACGGGTTTGGAAGTTTTACAAACACTTAGTGCACGTCGGAAAACACACATTTGAAACTCCCAGACTCATGTTTGCAGAAAACAAATCAACGTCTCAGATGGCGATAGGACCGTGTGACCGCCACCATCTTTACTGGGGGCAATGATCCGCGGGGCACATGCGCAGTAGCTTTGAAACTTTGAAAGGGCCAAGGTGAAGCTGGTCGCGTCCACAGACGTCTCTGGTTGAAAATGAGATAACAAGGTGTGGAGCTGGAGGAACACAGCCGGCCAGGCAGCATCAGAGGAGCAGGAAAGCTGACGTTTCGAGTCTGGACCCTTCTTCAGAAATGAAAGTGATCGGAGAGGACTTACACAGAGCAAATTCAAACCAAGAGAAATGCCACCCGAAGGTTGCAGGAACAGCACCTCATATTCCGCTTGGGAACTCTGCAGCCCCATGGTATCAATGTGGACTTCACAAGCTTCAAAATCTCCCCTCCCCCTACCGCATTCCAAAACCAGCCCAGCTCGTCCCCGCCTCCTTAACCTGTCTTTCCTCCCACCTATCCCCTGCTCCCACCCCCACCCCCACCCCCACCCCCACCCCCATCTCCACCCCCATCTCCTACCTACTAACCTCATCCCGCGCCTTGACCTGTCTGTCCTCCCTGGACTGACCTATCTCCTCCCTACCTACACTCACCTTTACTGGCTCCATCTCCGCCTCTTTGACCTGTCTGTCTCCTCTCCACCTATCTTCTCTATCCATCTTCTATTCACCTCCCCCTCTCTCCCTATTTATTTCAGAACACCCTTCCCCTTCCTCTTCCCCTCCCCCATTTCTGAAGAAGGGTCTAGGCCCGAAACGTCAGCCTTCCTGCTCCTCTGATGCTGCTTGGCCTGCTGTGTTCATCCAGCTCTACACCTTGTTATCTCAAGAGAAATGTTTGTTTCATCTGGATTTCTTTCCCAGAGTGTGGGACCATAGCAGCTAGCACTGCTCTTACTCACTTCTGTGCTCCCTGATCACCTCTTTGTCAGTATCTAATCTCTTCAGTCTCTAATGATGGATATATTTGATCTCTGTTTAGTATTTTACTGTTACTTTCTTATACCTTTTGTAAATGAATTTTCCACTGCTGCCCACCCCCTGACCATGTGCTGCTCTCTTACCAGATTAATTTTTGAATGCTATCTTTCACAGTCAGGAATTATTTTCCCAGAAAGAGAGTGCATTTTCCTTCCATTTCAGACGACCAAATTCTACAGCATTTTTATTCCATGTCATTCATTTTGTCCAGGTCTGTTCAGCACAAAAACAATGTTCCAAATTGTCGGTAGATGCCAGTGCTGTGGCAGTACTGAAATAGTTTGGCTTGGCGGGTAGCAAGCTCTAGAGCACAAGACATCGGTACTATTGCCAGAGTGTTGCCAGGGCCCATAACCTTTGCACCATTCATCCATTTATTAATATTATTTGAAATGAATCAAATTGGATGAAAACTCACATCTGTGACGTTGGGGACTTCTGGAGAAGGCTGAGGTGGATCATCCAATTGGCACTTCTGGTTGAAGATTGCTGCAAATGCTGCAGTCTTATCTTTTGTATGGATAGGTTGGGCTCCTCTGTCAGTAAGGATGGGGATATTTGGCATGCTTCCTCCAGTGAGTTTTTTAATTGTCCATCACCATTCATGACTGGGTGTGGCAGAACTGCAGAGCTTAGATCTGATCTATTGGTTATGGGGTGGCTTAGCTCTAACTCTTGCTGCTTATGCTATTTGGCATGGAGATAGTCCTATTTGGTAGTTTTACCAGGTTGGCACCTTATTTTTAGGTATGCCTGGTGCTGCTCTTGGCATGCCCTCCTATAGTATCCATTCAAACAGTGTTGATCCCCTGGATCAATGGTAATGGTTGAGTGCAGGATTTGCTGGGCCATGAGGTTACAGATTGTGCTGGAGTAAGTTCTGCTGCTATCACAAAGCCTCATAGATAACTGGTTTTGAGTTCAGCCGATGTTAGTGCCACTCAACACAATGGAGGGTATTCTCAAGTTTAAGATGAGGCTTTGTCTCCGCAGGACTGTGCGGTGGTCGCTGTTATCAATCCTGTCATGGACAGATGCATCTGCAGCTGGGAAATTTGTGACGATGAGATCAGCTATGTTTTTCCCTTTTGTTGGTTGCGTCACCACCTGCTGCAGTCCCAGCCAGGCAGCTTTGTCCTTTAGCACCCGACCAGCTTGATTGGTAATCCTGCTACAAACTACTACTGATGGTGGACATTGAGTACATTTGGTGCCATTTACACTCTCAGTGCTTCCTCCAAGTGCTGTTCAACATGGAAGCGTTTTTTTTAATTAAAATTCACTCTTGGGATGTGGAAATCGCTGGCTGGACCAGTGTTTATTGCCCATCCCTAATTGCCCAGAAGGCAGTTAAGAGTCAACCATATTGCTGTGGGTTTGGAGTCACATGTAGTCCAGACCAGGTAAGGATAGCAGATTTCCTTCCCGAAAGGACTAAGTGAACCTGATGGGTCTTTCCTGATAATCGGCAATGGTTTCATGGTCATCATTAGACTCTTAATTCCAGGTCATTATTTAATTCAGATTCCACCATCTGCCATGACAGGAATCGAACCTTGGTCCCCAGAATGTTATCTGGGTCTCTGGATTAATAATCTAGCGATAATACTGCTGCCGATTTATCAACCGAGGGAGGATGGTACGTGGTAATCAGCAGGAGCCATGAGACTTCCAGACGTCAGAGTCAATGTCGAGTACTCTGAGGTCAAATCAATCCAGTCAGAATACCACTGTGCTGCCACGTCTGCCGGGTCTGTCCTACTCGTGGGACAGGACTTATCGAGGGACAGTGATGGTGGCGTGTGTCATTGACTGTAAGGTATGATTCCATGCATATGACGCTGTTTCTTGACTAGTCTTTGAGTCAGCTCTCCAAACTTTGCTACTAGCCCCCAGATATTAGTGAGGGGGAGTTTGCGGGGTCGATAGGGCTGATTCTGCAGTTGTCTTTCCGAGTGCCTTGGGTAGATGCCAAGTGGCCCATCCAGTTTCATTCGTTTGTTGAGACTTTGCAGTGATTTGCAACTGAGTGGCTTGCTGAGGTTGGCAAATTTCTTTCCCTGAAGGACATTAGATTTTTTTTTTCTGCCATTAACAATGGTTCCGTGGCAACCAGTTGATTATTAGTTCCATTTTTTGTTAATTGAATTCAAATTCCACCATCGGCTGAGATGGGATTCCAACCTGGACTTCTGTTGTACATTTTAATATTCTGGATAAAAGTTAAATTCATCAGGTTTGTTCACTCATTTTTAAATATCACTAATAACAGAGACATTGTTTCTTTGCAAAACACTGTCCATCATCCTGTCTCCTCCATCCTCCCCTCCAACAACGTGAGGGAGACACATGGAGTTTCTATGTCACTAAGATAGAGACAATCCAATCAGCTGCCTCTGCTGCTTCCCTCTTTTCCATTAGCCCACCAAACCAAGTTGCCTTGCATGTTGTTCCTCGTTTTAGTCCTAAACTTGCATCTTTCTCCAGTCTCGTGTCAAGCCTTATCAGAGTTCATCTTAACCCTTTGCCCTATTCCCCTAAACTACAAACATTCCAACTCTCTCTTGTTTCTCCTCCTCCTTGCCTCTTCCCCATGCCAATTCATCGATATTGTTAATTGTTCTGTCTGTTTCTCTTTTCTGCTTATGTCCTTCTCACCCATTCTGTTTAAAACCAATATTTGACCTCACCGTCATTGGAAAATCTCACTCCATCTCCACTTTCTCTTTCCTTGTCTGAAATCCATGTAGTCGATGTCCCTCAAGGATCTATCCTAGGCCCATCCTGTTTCTCACCGACATACTGCCAGGTGGTGAGATCTTCAGCAAGCACCGTGTTAGTTTTCACATGTACACTACAATGTTCAGATCTAACACCCCTCCATCACTCTCCTTTGCTCCACTGTTACTCAATTATAAAACTGCTTATCATGCTTCCACTACTTGATTAGCTGAAATTTCCTCCAATAACACTTGTGATAGTTAAACCCATTACCTTCAGTTGTTATTACAAATTACTTTTCCTTACTCCTGTACTGAATCCATCCCTCTCACTTGGAACTGTCTGAGGCTGAACTGCTCAATAATGCTCTCATCTGGCCTCAAGATGAACAGCTTACCATTCATCTTCTCAATCACAAATGCCAGAAATTTCAATCTCTAAAATGCTCCTTCTCTCCACCTCACTCCAGCTCATTTACGACCAAAACCCCTTACCCATGTCTGTGTTGCCTTAAGCTTGACGATTCCAAAAGAGAACCCTCTATTCTCCGCCTGATCAAGAATCTGCTCCCATGATGGGAAATATCCCCTCAACATTTATCCTGTCAACTCCCTTAAGAATCCTATATTTTTAATTAGATCATCTCTCATTCTTCGAAAATCTAGTTGGTAGATTCCAAACCTGTTTAGTCTTATTTTTAAAGATAATCCCTCCAAACCATTGATCATCCTAGTTCATCTTCTCTGAAATGCCTCCAATGAAGTGATATACTTGCTCGAATAAGTGAACCAAAAAAGCTGCTCACATTCCTCCAGATGTGGTCTTACCATCAATTTGTACATTTGTCCGAAAACATATGTTCCAAACTCTTATACTGCAAACACCTTGACATAAGGGATAACATCCCATTACCCTTCCTGATTACCTGTTGCAACTGTGTGCTCACTTCGTGTTTCCTGCACAATTATTCCTGAGTCCCTTTGTGTTGCAGTTTTCCACAATTTTTACCTTTTCAATAACACTGTGTTCTTTAGTTGTCTCCTTAAAAATGAAAACTTCACATTTTCCCACATTATACTCCATTTGCCAACTTGTTGCCGATTTATCAATATCTCTCCATAAACTGTAACCCTTTTTTTGAGATCCTCCCTCATTCTTCTAATCTTTTTGTTGGGAGCACTGGGCAAGACGACACGTACGTAATTGCTGCCTTTTTAATGGGCATTCTTTCGAATGATTGGGAGAAGCTTACTGTCCATTGTTCAGAATCGAGACAACATGTCCATCAAGCTGCGTTAGCTTTTCCGGCCCAATGTCTCATTGATGTGGCAGTGCAGCAGCACGGAAGGAAAGAAAAGGAAGCGAATCCTGCTGTCTGCATCTCACTAACTCTTGGCCATTCTTTGCCCTGTGTCAAAGACCTGCTGTTCTGTTCAATATCATGAAGTCCCAAGGTGGAAACTCCTAGAAACCCAAATAGATTTCCCCCTGAATCAACTGCTGACCTCCACAAGGGATAATGTGCAGCAGGGACAATGCACAGTTATCCTCCGCCAGGAGGAGGGGATGTTGTGAATTTCTACCCTGGACTGACAGTGATGATTTTATGAATTTGTGTTATAGGATATTACAAGTGGACTTTCAGGTGGGAAACTCAATAATTGTAACACCAAACTCTGACAGAATTACTCCATTCAGGACCTGGATATTCGCATTGTGTGTGAGTATTGTGTACCTGCTCATTCCCATTTGCCATGTAAAATTTCTCTCTTCAATCACCACATTTTCTCAATAGATCTTCCCTAAAACTTTCCATATATGTCCTGTAATCGTTTTTATGATCAGTTGATGAGTATACATTTTATCATCCTAATGTATATCTTTTGTAAACACCTCTATCAAAGGTCACCTCAAAATCCTTTGTTACAAGGAGAACAATCTCAGTTTCCCCAAACACCTGATTCCCCAATGACTGTTTGCTGTCTATAAGGCACTCATCCGGATTGTGTTGGAACATTTTCCACTTACCTGCATCAGTGCAGCCCCAACAATATTAAAGAAAGTGAACATCCTCCAGATGAAGCACTGTGTCAGAGTGGTGTCCCATCCACCACATTCAACATTCCCCTCTACACCACTGAGGCACAGTAGCATCACTGTGCCAAAGGTAAAATCACCATTGTCCTACCTGACCATAGGGCTGGTTTAACCTGAAGTTTACCACACCCCAGGCGAGGGGAGAGGTTGAGAAGGACAATCCATCCATTGCAGATGGATATTCTCGATATGTACCAGCAACGCCCAAGTCACATGAAAGAATAATGTAAAAAATAAACCTAACCATGCAACTAAAAACCCTCTTCCTACAAATCATTCTGTTAAGTCTCCTCTGCTCCCTATCAGGGATCCTCCCATCCTTCACAACGTGTGGGTGATCTTTGGTTTGCACACTCAGCTAGTCCCTGTTCCTGTCTGTGATGTCATCATGCTGTGACAGTTGCACTGAACCTCACTGTCTGTAGTGGTAGACACAGAGATCCTCATAACATTTAAGACATACTTAGATGCACACTTATGATGCCAACGCAGGCAAGTCTATGGGCCAAGTGCTGGAAAATTCAATTAGAATAGTTAGGTGGTCGTTTTTAACTGGCACAGGCTGGATGGGCCACAGAACCTTTTTCTGTACTGTAGACCTCCAAGACACTTCACATAGGAAGATCCCAAGCAATATTTCAAGCAATTTCAGAAAAGGAGGTATTAGAATAAATGACTCATGATTGGTCAATGTTTTTGGGAGAAAAGTGAGGTATAGAGATGAAGCGGTTTGCCACAAAATTCTGGAGCTTGAAGCCCAGGAAATTGAAAGTGCCGCCATCAAGTGGAGGAATAAAAATGGGTTATCATCATAAAGATTGTATTAGAGGAAAGCACATATCATTGACATTTGTGAGGCTGGAGGATATTAGAGACAAGAAGGGTTCTGAGACTGGAGAAGATTACAGAAGTAGGGAAAAGTGTGAGGTTGGAGGAGGTTACAGAAATGGTGAGGATTGAGAGGCTGGATTAAATTTCAAACAAAGGGAGGTTTGTGTGGGTGAAGACAATTACAGAGCTAAGGAAGTTTATATGGGCTGGTGGAATTTACAGAGGTAGGAGGGTGTTGAGGCTGGAGGAGATTACAGAGAGAAGGAGGTTTGTGAGACTGGAGGAATCTACAGAGATGGTGAGAGCTCTGAGGCGAGAGGGAGATTCCAACGATAGGCAGGTCGTGAGGCTGGAGAGGGATTCCAGCGATGTGGAGGGTGCTGAGGCTCAAGGGTGATGCCTGCAATAGTGCAGGTATTGAGGCTCGAGGGTCATTCTCATGATAGGGACGGTAGTGAGGTTTGAGGTATGATTCCTGCAATAGGGAGGGTGGTGAGGCTCCAGGGTGGATTATCGTCTCAACAGCACAGTGGTGTACTTTCAGCACATGGAGTGCAGCAGTTATAGAAAGTGGTTCACCACTACTTTCTCCAAATCAAATAAAAATGGCCAATCAATATTAGTCTGGGCAGCAAAGACCACATCCCGTAAGTAAATTAAAATTATGATGGGTTTCTGGTTTGGAGAGAGCTAGCAGAAGCTCAGATAATTCTCCTTGGGGCTGATTAGCAATGATTTATTCGAGTAGTAGATTTGTTTCCAGGATATTAGTTTGCAGAGAGAGAAAAATTATTAACATTGTGGCAACGTTTGGTAACCGCAGAATACAACATTCAGATAATTGGCAAATAATGCAGGGTGAAAATGTGAAGATTACTTGACTCAGCAAGTTCCCAGGATCTGGCACAGTCTGAATGGCAGCTGGATGCAGATTCAGCAGTTATTCTCAAAAGAGATTTGGGATTTAACTTTTCAAGGAATGATTAAGAGGGCCGTGGACAAATGGCAGGGGAATTGGGTCAGATTTACATCACCTCGAGAGTGAGAGTGAAGCCTTTGACAGGGTTCCACATGGTAGACTAATTAGTAAAGTTAGATCACATATGATTCAGGAAGAGCTTGCTAATTGGAAACAAAATTGGCTGAGTTGTAGGAGAGAACGTGGTGCTGGAGGATTTTTCAGAATGGAGTTCTGTGACCAGCGGTGTTCCACAGCAATCGGTACAGGGTCCACTTTTGTTTCTCATTTATATTAATGATTTGGATGAGAATTTAAGGGACAAGATTAGTAAGTTTGCAGATGATACTACAATTAGTGGTATACTGGTTAGTGAAGGTTATCAAAGATGACAGCGAGATCTTGATCAATTGGGTCAATGGGTAAAGGAGTGGAAGATGAAGTTCATTTTGAATAAATGCGAGATATTGTACTTTGGTAAAATGAACAAGGGTAGGACTGACACAATTGATGGTTGCACCTTGGGTAGTGTTGTGGAATTCAGAAATGCTGAGATTCAGGTGCATAATTCTTCGAAGTTTATGTAGATAGATAGACAGGTTAATAAGTTGTTTAGCACACTTGCCTTCATTGCTCAGACCTTTGAGTATAGGAGTTGGGATGTTATGTTGAGGTTGTACAGGACATTGGTGAGGCTTCATTTGAGGTATTGTGTGCAGTTCTGGTCGCCTTGTTACAGGAAGGATATTATTATTAAACTGGAGACAGTTTAGAAAAGACTTGCTGGGATGTTGCCAGGAATGGAGGGCTTGATTATCAAAATAGACTGCCAAAGCTAGGACTTTTCTCACTGGAGCATAGGAGGTTAAGGGGTGACCTTACAAAGGTTTATAAAATCATAAGGGGCATAGATTATGTGAATAGCAAGGGTTTTATTTTTCCCTAGGTTGGGGGATTTCAAGACAAGGGGACATATGTGTAGGGTGAGAGGAGAAAGACATAGTTAAAAAAGACATGAGGGACATTTTTTTTTTTTTTACAGTGTTTCGTGTGTGGAAAGAACTTTCAGAGGAGGTGGTGGATGCAGGTACAGTCGCATTGTTTGAAAGACATTTGAATAAGTACATGTATAAGAAAGGTTTAGAGGGATATGTGCCAGATGCAGGCAGATGGGATTAGTTTAAATCTAAAACTTAAATATTTAATATAAATTTCAAAGTTCTAAATTGGAGTAAGGCCAACTTTGACAGTATTGGGCAAGAACTTCCAAAAGAGATCTGGAGAGGCAATTCGCAGGTAAAGGGATGCTTGGAAAGTGGGAGGCCTTCAAAAATAAAATATGGAGAGTCCAGAGACAGTATGTTCCTGTTCATGTGAGGAGCGAGGCTGGTAAGTGTAGGAGATACTGGATGACTAGAGAAATTGAGGCTCTGGTCAAGAAAAAGAAGGCAGCACATGTTGGGTATTGACAGCAGGAATGGGTCAATCCCTTGAAGTATAAGGGCAGTAGGAGTCTACTCAAGGGAAATCAGGAGGGCAAAAAGGAGACATGAGCTATCTTTGGCAAATAGGGTTAAGGGGAATCCTAAGAGATTCTGAAACTACATTTAGGACAAAAAAGCAACTAAGGAGAAAATAGGGCCCCTTTAAAGATCAACAAGGCTGTCTATGTGCGGAACTGCAGGCTGTGATAGTAGATGAGTATTTCGCATTAGTATTTACTGCAGAGAAGGATATGGAAGCTAGAGAACTTGGAGAAATAAATAATGAGTCGTGAAAAGTGTCCATATTACACAGGACTAGGTGCTGGACGTCTTAAAATGCATTAAGATGGATCGGTCCCTGGCACCTGATCAGGTGTTATCCACAAACTTTGGGGGAAGCTAGGGAAGTAATTGCTGGGCCCCTTGCTGAGATATTTGTATTACTGATAGACACTGGTGAGGTGCCAGAAGACTGCGTGGCTAATGTAGTGCCATTCTTTAAGAAAGGTGGTATGAAAATGTCAGGGAACTATCGACCAGTGAGCCTGATGTCAGTGGTGGGTAAATTGTTGGAAGGGATTCTGAGGGACAGGATTTGCATGTGTTTGGAGAAGCAAGGGCTGATTAGGGATAGTCAACATGGCTTTGTGAGTGGGAAATGTTGTCTCACTAACTTGATTGAGTTTTTTGAAGAAGTGAAAAAGAAGATTAATGAAGGCAAAGCAGTGGACATTGTCTATATGGATTTCAGCAAGGCATTCACCAAAGCTCGACATGATAGACTGGTTAGCAAGATTAGATCAAATGGAATCCAGGGAGAGTTAGCTATTTGAAACAAAATTGGCTTGAAGGAAGGAGACAGGATCATGGTGGAGGGTTGTTTTTTTCAGTCTGGAGGACTACGAACAGCAGTGTGCTGCAAGGATCGGTGCTGGGTCCACTGCTTTTTGTCAGTGATATAAATCATTTGGAATGAATATTGGAGGAATGGTTAGTAAGTTTGCATATGACACTAAAATTGTTGGTGTAGTAAACAGCAAAGAAATTTACCTCCAAGTCCAATGGGAACGTAATCAAATGGGTCGAAGGGCCAAGGAGTGACAGAAATAGGTTGAGTTTAGATAAATGTGAGATATTGCATTTTGGTATTGAAAATCAGGGCAGGACTAAAACATTTAATGATGAGGCCCTGGGGACAGTTACGCAACAGATACTCCTTGGGGTGCAGGTGCACAGTTCCTTGAAGGTGGATTGCAGGTATAGAAGGCAGTGAAGATGATGTTTGCTATGCTTGCATTTATTGGTCAGTGCATTGAGTATAGGAGCTGGGAGGTCATGTTATAGGCTGAACAAGACATTGATTATGACGCTTTTGGAATACTGTATTCAGTTCTGGTCTCCCTGCTGTAGGAATGATGCTGTTAAACTTGGCAGGGTGCAGAAAAGATTTACAAGGATGTTGCAAGAGTTGGAAGTTTCGAGCTGTAGGGAGAGGCTGAATACGCTGGGGCTATTTTCCCTGGAGCATTGAAGGCTGAGAGGTGACCTTATAGAGGTTAATAAAATTATGGTGGGCATAGAGTGAATAGCCAAGGTTGTTTCACCAGGGTAGAGGAGATTAGAACTAAACACATTGGTTTAAGCTGAGAGGGAAAGTTTTAAAAAGGAAAGCGGGTGGTGCCTGTGTAGAATGAGCTGCCAGAGGAACTGGTGGAAGCTGGCACAATTACAACATTTAAAAGGCATCTGGATGGGTACGTGAATAGGAAGGGTTTAGAGGAATATGGGTCAAATGCTTGCAAATGGGATTAGATTAATTTAGGATATCTGGTCGGCATGGACAACTGGGACCAAAGGGATTGTTTCGTGCTGTACAACTCTGAAAAAGCATTTTTTTTGTTTTCATTTCAGATTTCCACAATTTTACTTCCACTGTTCTTGGTCTTTCAGAGGGATCATAAGGTTGAGTTACAGATCTATACAATGCATGTCCTTCCTCCCTGGCTCTCCCACCTCTCTCTTTCGGTAGTTTTGTGCAAACACTGACTGGATCCTTTACCTGGAGGATATTTATGAATGAATTTGTTCTAATGATAATCCAGCATATTCCCCAAGTGTCGCTCCACAAATGTCCAGAGGATTTCTCAGTTTCACAAACTGTGTGTGTTCTTCTGGTTTCTCACTCACTGCACTTACTTTCTGTTTGAAAGCTTAGTTTGCAGTTGAAGAATTCAAACAGTTCCACATCCAGATCTGACAGTCACTTTGTTTATCACAACCCAATTATCTCAGGATTTTGAACATTGAAGGTAAAAGCAGCATTCACACTGGGGAGAAACGCACATGGTCTGTGTGTCGGAGAGTCTGTGAAGATTCATCTGAAATGTCCAAACACCAGCGCAGTGACACTGGGGAGAGACTGTGGAAATGTGCGGATTGCGGGAAGGGATTTCTTTACCCGTCCCAGCTAAAAACTCACCAACAGAGTCACACTGGGAAGAAGCCATTCACCTGCTCTGATTGTGGGAAGGGATTCGCTTCACCAGCTAGGCTACTGATATACCAGCGAGTTCACACTGGAGAGATACCATTGACCTGTTCTGTGTGTGGGAAAGGCTTTGCTGACTCGAACTCCCCGCTGATACACCAGCGAGTTCACTCTGGAGAGAGACCATTTATCTGCTCCCAGTGTGGGAAGGGATTCACTTGCTCATCTAACCTACTTAGACACCAGAGCGTTCACAGTGGGGAGAAACCATTCATCTACTCTAAATATGGGAAAGCATTAATTCGGTCATCCTACCTGCTGGAGCACCAGCAGGTTTACACTGGGGAGAGACCATTCACGAGCTCTGAGTGTGGGAAAGCGTTCACTCAGTCATCCAAACTGTTAACACACCAACGAGTTCACAAAGAACCACAGTTGAAGGATTTTGCTGTCACTCACTATCAAATGAGCCATGGTTTTGGGCTATTTGTGCTGATGTTACTAATCCCTGTTCAATTACAGGTGCTGATATTGTGAATAAAATGTTAACAACAGTTGTGTATCTGTAAGGTGGAGAGTGGAAATAGTCATGTTGTCACCATACATCGACACATTCACACTGACTAAAGACTATCCACCTGCACAGTATGTGAAAAGGGATTTCCTGGTTCATCAGGACTGGTTAACTACCAGCAAATTTCTGAGTAACTGTTGATTGGTTTTTGATTCTGCTGTTAGCTATATCCAAACCATGTTTTTTGGGCTTGTTTCTGGAGATCATAGAATCCCTCCAGTGTGGAAGCAGACCATTTGGCCCATCAAGTCGACATTGAACTTACGAAGAGTGTCCGACTCACACTCACACCCAATCTCGACAACACTGCATTTAACATGGACAATCCACATAGTCGGCACATACATGGGCACTATGGGCAATTTAGCACAGTCAATCCACCCTAACCTGCACATCTTTAGTCTGTAGCAGGAAACCAGAGCACCTGGAGGAAACCTGCACAGACACAGAGACTGTGCAAGCTGCACACAAACAGCAGGCTGAGGCTAGAATCAAATGCAGAAATAGACAGTAAACATCCGTTCAGCCCTTTGACCTTGTTCCTCCTGTCATCTACCTCAGTTCTACCTTCTCAAATTCTCCACATTTCCCTCATTTCTGATGTACAAAAATCTAACAATGCCTGATTTGGCACCACTGGATGACCAAGAATCTACAGCTCCCTGGAATAGAGAATTCCACAGATTTACAGTAGTGCGAGTGAAGAAATTGATCCTCATCTCAATCTGAAATGGCCACACCCTTATTCTGAGACAATTACCCCATGTCGTAGATTTCCCAGCCAGAGGAAACATTTACTCAGCATTGTTCCTGTCAAGCATCTTCAAAAAAAAAATCAATTAGATCACTTCTATTTCTCTATATCCCACGGTTGGTTGTCAGTTAGTTCAGTTGGCTGGACAGCTGATTTACGACTTGGAGTGGTACCAACAGTGTGGATTCAATTCCTTCAACAGTTGAGGTGACCATGAAGGACTGTCCTTCTTGACTTCTTCCCTTGCCTGACTCTCAGGTTAGCCACCACCATTTGTCTGTCTCGAATGAGAGACAGCCAGGTTGTCCAGTAGCACTATGGTGACTTTGATTTTATCTCACAGAATATAAGCCCTGTTTACTCAATTTCTTCTGCTCAGAAATCCCCTTTTCCCAGGAACCAGTCTGGAGAACTTTGGTACACTCACTCTAGATCATGTTAGTTCAGTCATCAGAAACTGCTCACAGCCCTCTAGGGCAAACCTCTATCCTGAAAACTGCTCACATTCCTCCAGGGCAGATCTCACCGCAGTAACCTGCTCACAGCACTCCAGGGGAGTTCACTCTTGTTCTCCAAAGCCATTTGTAATAAAAGCTTACCTACCGTTCGCCATTTGTTGCTGTATCTACTGTTACGTTCTGTCAAATGTGTCCAGGGACACTTGGTCCCTCTGGTGATGTTTCCACAGTCAAAATGCATGATAAAAATGGCAGGGGCAATAACTGTGTCACCTGTACTATCCGAGAGCAGGTACTGCCAATGCTGTTCACATTTTGCTGTCTCTGGGCCTGACTTTTGTTTCTCCTCCTCGTCCATTTGTTTATTAACTTCTCATTATAGACAATGTTGCCTTGTAGCATCATTGTGATGGACTTTGAACTTTGTCATTTAGTCACTCCAGTCTCCGAACTGCTTGCAAAAACAATATTCTTTCATACAAACATGTTAGTTAGGAGCAAAGTCAGAAGTCAAACAATACCAGATTATAGTCCAACAGGTTTATTTGACATCAGAAGCTTTCAGACTGCTGTTCCTTCATCAGGTGACTCCACCTGCAGAAGGAGCAGCTCTCTGAAAGTTTGTGATTTCAAATAAACCTGTTGGACTATAATCTGGTGTCATGTGACTTCTGACTTTGTCCACCCCAGTCCATGATCGGCATTTCCGTATCAAATTTAGCGGTAGGAATTGGCCATTCACCATCAAACCTGCACTCCACTCTCCTTTTCCGTGACACAGTCCTAGTTTATAAACTATTCAATATTAATATTGTCCAGTTCAGGTAAAAGGTTAGCAACATGCATTTTTCACTAAATTTCTCTTCCAAAACTGTTGGTCTTGCTGAGTGTTTCCAACATTTTTTGTTTTGAGACTGGATTTCCAACATCTGCAGAATCTTGAATTTTGCTTCACTGTGGATTCGTCTGCTTAGACTGTCCCAATTAGGAATACATGGAGCTGTGAAAGAATGAGACGTCAGTGACTGTCACCCCATTCAACGGAAAAAAACTCACTGTCAGGTACTCAATCAGGGTACTTATAATCTTTACATCTGGACTACAATCCACATATTTTGCATGCAAAATAAAGGTGATTTTCTTCCCTTGGGGTATGAAAGATGCTAGTAGCTGACCTGTGCACAGAAAAATGTGCTGATCCCTGTCCTGGGGATGGTAAAGATGCTGGGAGCAATTGTACAAGAGTTCAAACTAGACTCAAAATCAGAAAGAAAAATAAAATACTGAGGATGTTGCCAATCAAAGTAAAACAGGAAGTGGTGTGGAAACTCCTCAGGTCTGGCATCTGTAGATACAAACGCAGAGTTAATGTTTCGAGTTCAAAGTCACTCGGAGTCAGCTGAACTTGAAATGATGAAACTGCTTCTCATTTCAGAGAGGGTGTTTTCGGTTCAGTAGGATAGACTAAAACAAGGCTGACTGTAAGAATCTGAGATGGAGGTGAATCCTTTGTTGAGCATGCTGAATTGCTCACATTTAGTTTGAAAAGCTATATAATTGAGAAAATTATACATAGATCTCTTGAGGCTGCATGGTGGCACAGTGGTCAGCAATGCTGCGTCACAGCACCAGGGACCTGGGTTTGATTCTAGCTTTGGGCGACTGTGTGGAGTTTGGACATTCTCCCTGTGTCTGCGTGGGTTTCCTCCAGGTGCTGCGGTTTCCTCCCACAGTCCGAAAATGTGCAAATTAGTAGATTAACTATGCTAAATTGCCCATAGTGTATTGTGTGCAAAATGCAGGGATAGGGTAGGGTGTGAGACTGCGTGGGATGCTCTTTAGAGGGTTGGTGTGGACTCAATGGACTGATTGGCCATCTTCCACACTGTAGGGATTCTATGATGATCTTGATGGCCCTTTATTTGTTAGTTGTGCCTGGTCAATATGTCTGCACACCTTTACAATTACGGATTCTATTGATCTCCACAGACATGTTTCAACTTTTAATAGATATTTGTTTATTGGAAACAATGTAATCTTTCATTTTGTGGATAACGATCAAAAGAAAGTTTTAAATCCAAACAAAAGATTGGGATGAGTCATGTACTATATCCCTCATTGCAGTTTCCCAATCTGCTATGAAACCTGGTGACCATTGTGGCTCTGTCCAGGTGGAAATGCAGTCTCTTCAGATCTTTACCTGGTGTCCATAGCAGAGACGGATCTCATGATGAATACGTAAACCAAGACATTGTATGATTTCTAATGTTTATTTTCTGTTTAGTCTGCTGTCCATCACTCTCCAGAGACCGAGATAACGTTCGTGGGACCTAGGTTTGAATACCACCATTCCAGATAGCGGAATTGGAGTTAAAATAAAAAAACCTGGAAATATGAATCTAATGATGACCGTGAATCCATTGTCATTGTTGGAAAAACACATCTGTTCACCTGTGTCCTTTAGGGAAGGAAACTGCCATTATTATCCAGTGATATCATCCCATGAATGAATTTTTTAAAAAATTAATTGAAAAAACTCCTGCAAATACATTTATCTCTGTCTTAATTTATTTGACAACTGACAATTCAAACTGGTTGATGGTCACTTTCACTTTTGATCAAGTTGTGGCCATTTCATGGTTGAAACAAAAAAAAAATTGCATTGATGGAACCATAGTTGTTGTCATAGGAACAATGCGTGCTCTGACATGTTTGAAAAATACCTCATCTCACTTATGAACCAGATATCAAAGTTGACCATATCTCGATGCTGTGTACCATGAAAGCGAAATTCTTCACCATCTTATCTACTTGTGTTGCTATTTCAGGGAGCTATGGACTTGAACCTCCCAAACTGCATCACCTCAAACTAAACTTCAAATGCCATTTCTCTGCACAACATCCCAGTTGATCTATATCTCATTTGAACTTGCCCCCCTCTCATATTAAATGCATGCCCCTTAGTATTAGACATTTCAACTCTGGGAAAAAGGTTCTGACTGTCAATTCCAGCTATACATCTCATAATTTTGTAGACTTCTATGAAGTCTTCCTCGGCCTCCACTGCCCCAGAGAAAACAACCCGAGTTTTTCTAATGTCTCCCTATAGCTCATACCCTGTGATCAAAGCAGCATCCTAGTAAACCTCTTCTGCATCCTCTCCAAAGCCTCCATATCCTTCCTGTAATGTGGTGACCAGAACTGAACACAATACTCGAAGAGCAGCCTGACTAAAGTCTTATAAAGTTGCAACATTACATCTTGTACTCAGTATTCCTTTCTTCCTTGCACAAGTCTCTTCCTTGTCGAGTCCGTGAGCTTCTGCACTTTCCCACGCAGCTCTTTCATTTACAAACTTTACCTCACAATATTACCCAACCCAGAGTCCCAGCCCCACAGCTTCACCATATACTGCACTCTCCCCACATCAAAACCATGATGGCAGTGAACAATGACGACTTGCACTTCCACAACAACCCACGTTCTTTGTTTCCCTCCGTCACTAATATGTTGACTTTCCCACTGATCCCACAATTAATGTCCACTCTTCCTCCAAGCAGGCTGTCCCCACTGCCCAGTACTGACTTCCCCAGCTTCACCAGTACTGCAGTGCCTCCCGAACACCTTGAGAATTTCATCAAACTGACCCCCAATGGCAGGAATGGACAGGGTCAGCTTGGATTGATGAGCATAATTCAGGCTCAACAAATCTACTGGAGCATTTTGAGGATGTAATTAGTAGTGACTGTGGCCATCTCTCTGTACTGT